GTGTTGTTCTAATTGTTCTAGTTGTTCTAGCTGTTCTTATTTTATGTGGTTCTAATTCTCCTATTTGTTATACTGTAGCCTTTAATTACTTGGGCTGTTCCTGAAATATACAGGAAAACTCTTCAATGATGTCAGAATAAAACTCTTATTCTCAGCAGACAAATTTACATTACAGTACATAACGCATTGGCTCTATTCTCATCCTGACGTGAGTTTAACCAGCACTGCTCAAGAAAAGTTTTGAGCTTATTATTTGATGAAACGAAAATAAATGTCGATATTCTTTTGATTTCTTCGTCCTGCTTCTAATTACTTTTTTCCTAAACTCATAAACCATGAAAAAGAATGTAAAAATTAGTTGAAATGCGTGTTTTTTCTTAGTACAGTGCTTCCATGTGACACCAAAAAGATTACATATTGAAGTGCGCGGGAAATATTTCTGCCCAAAAATTAGACATGGTTTTTTTTCTGATACCTCTTTATTGAAATACTCAATATAATAATTCGCACGCAGATGTTCAACTTTATTTCTGCTGGGTTCATTTTGGCAGCCGGCCTTTTACAAGGCATGAATTCATTTCTCTTTCAATTTTATTTCATCCCTCAATTTCATCGGACATCGTTTCAAATTTTCTACGTTTTGGCAATCTACCTAAAGAATCATACACTGTTTTCGATTTTCAGGTGTGATCGCAATGGTTACAGATCAGATCCTTGGAAAGCCGTCGATGTCACGGGGTCAAAAATTACAACGACCTCGCCAAGCTCTTTTATTTTATCATTTCCAAATTCAGGTTTGTAATTTCCTGAAGTCTGCTTTCATCATTTTACATGCTCCTTGTTATTATTTTTTACAGGAAATGAATGGCACTTCGTCGTAGACAGCCCAGAGAAGACCGATGAATGGGTTTCCTCGCTGCGACGTGCCTCCCAGACCTGCGATGCTCCTGAAAATTTGATGGAATTCTGAACAGTTTCTTTCACTTTTCAATGATTTTAAGTTCATTTGGCGAGCAATGATTCTCTGATGAACTAAAGGGGATTTATATTGGAGCTGTGGCATTGAACCTTTTATGCTCTCGCGGGTAATTATTGCTCTTAACACGGTGACTGCGGTGCGCAGCAAGGTTACCCTATTGCACAAGTAAGATATTGTCTTGATCAATTGTATTATATCTATATGCAGATGTCGCTCTTCCACATCCGGTTGAGGCTAATGTTCACTGTACACACTGTATACGAATCGATTGTTCGCTCCAGCAGTTTATTTGCTGAGTAGGGTCTAGCATGGAAAGTCTGCCTCTTCCACATCCGGTTGAGGCTAATGTTCACTGTACACACTGTATACGAATCGATTGTTCGCTCCAGCAGTTTATTTGCTGAGTAGGGTCTAGCATGGAAAGTCTGCCTCAAATATCTTCATGAGCTGTTGGCATAGCTGAATCATTACGAGCGCATTTTTTTGCAGAACTATTCATTTCCAATATTTCGTTTATATATAGAGTACCGTAAATGCTTGTCGTATACGTTTCGGTCATTATTATTATATTCAAATGTGCTTGCTGTCTCATCGACGAGTCTTCTCGAGGTCAATTCATTGTATTATATTTTCTTGAACACATTTGTGTCAAATTAGGCGAAGTGTTGAATTATGTCCTTTGCCGTTCAGGCAGTATAACGTCCATCGTCTGCAGTCGATTCTTTTAACGTGAATCTCAAAGCGTATAGGAAATGATCAGCAGGATTTTTTTCGGCATTCATTGATGCTTTTGCTCGTGTGATGAATCAAAATTCCGGTTGGAATTTTGTAGCATCGAAGTGTGAAACAGTTCTGTGACTTTTTTTTTCAATCGGTCCGTGCATGTGTATATTTTCGTGCGCCAATCTGCCGCATGGGACTGCTGAACCCTCTGATTGTAAGTGGCTGTGATTCCCTGGTTTTTGCGCTGTTCGGGAAGTTTGAAGCTTTTTTGTGGAGCTCGTGGGCAAATAAAGAGTTAATCTACGAATATCCGCAGAAGTTTTGATTTGAATATAAAATGCAACCAAAATATTGAGGACGATTTCGAAGTGATTTCCAGCTGATATTGGTATTCGTTATTGGATAACTATACTGTGAAGGAAGAAATGACCGTATGGTGCATGAAGTTCATCTTACCTTCTCTTTGTCCGAAAATTTTGTGATTCCTGTGCTACATCATGTGCCAAGTTTTTTTTTCTGTTCAGAGACCATTTCCTTGCGATTTTCACCTTTCTGTTTTAAACAATACATTTGAACCTTGCCAATTAGCTGAACATCCCCATGAGTGAAAAACCTCCTAATTCAAAAATCCAGTTAATCCCTGCCCAATCTTTCAAGTAAAAAGCCATTTGAACTTTTCAATAAACTTTTTTTTTTCGAGTGAAGACATTTGATGGAGGAAGTGTATTGTATCTATTGCTACATGTGGGTTCATAGCATACCAGAGGGGCCCTGTTTGTCATTACACATACCCAAGTGAGGAGCTATTCTTCCTGTGACCCCACAACTGGTGCACACTGGGGTCACGACTGGCGTACATGGGCTATCCTGGGGTTATAAGCATGCACCTATACAGAATAAATTTTGCTACCATTCCAGAGCTACATTTGGTGCACAAATGTGACATAACAGGAGTATCACACAAATGCACCAACTGTGACCTTGGTGTAACTTATTTGTTTACAAATGTGACCATGAGTAATCCTGGTGTGAAAACACAATTGGTGCACATTAG